ACCCATGCCTTGTCAGTGTGTGTAGTTCTCAGGTCTGTCTAAACTATACCCATGCCTTGTCAGAGTGTGTGTGTTTGTGTGAGTGTAGTGCTCAGGTCTATCTGAACTATCTGAACATATACAATGTTTCCAGCCTTGTTTGTTTACATTTTTGTGAACTTTGCATTTTGATTCAACTTGTTTCTCCACTTTTTTTGATGAGCCAAGGTGAGTTGTTGTTGTTGTTGATCAAAAAATGTTAACCCATTGTGGCTTTTTTTTTGTTTTGCTATAAATTTGTTAATTGTCATTTGCTGAAATGTGTCTGTTTGCCACTACTTTTACTGAATTGACAATTCTACTGATGGTCAGGTCAAGAAAAATGTGATGGGGAACAGTAAGGTAACTGTCATGGAGTGTTTAACATACAAATGCAAGCATCCACGTTGTGAAATATCCTTCAAATGCAGCCATTGTGATTTATTGTGTGACAGATTATCCTATGTTATAAAAATATCTTGAAAGCATTGTGGAAAGTAGCCAATGAATGCTCTTCTAATTCAGAAATGGACACCAGAAGTAAATCGAACTCTGGCTACTTTGTGTTGCAATTTACTCTTGATTGGGTATTAAGTTCCATCACACAGTAAAATTTATGGCTAAAAGTATATAGATCAATTCAAAGACTGTTGTTCAAATGTTAAAAAAAAAAAAAAGTTCCAAGATAAGTGGAATAGAATTGACTCTGGAAAAATGCTTGAAGGACTACGATTTACGTATCTTGATTGAATTGACATACCATCCAACATGGAGATTTGGCAATGTATCACAGCCCTAACAGCAAAGTACAAAAAACATGATACCCAGAACATTACGTTTTCCAGGGCAATACAGCATCCTTACAGACACACATTGGTGTCCATTGTGTCTGAATCAAACTGCACCATTACACCTAAAAATGCAGTATCTGAGATAAGGTGTGGCATAAAGACAGTGTTTGCAATGATGATTTCCCAAATGATAAACAACTGAAGTCATTAGTTTCTCAAATGCAGTCACAGCAAAAGAGTCAAACAGCTACCATCTCATAGTAATTGTATTGCCATGCCTATGTGCTTTACTGTGCCCATCTACTTGGAAACAAAGCATCATAACTTTTGAAATGTTTATTCAGTTAGTAAAAAAAAAAGAAAAAAAAAAGGTTAAGAGGGGATTTTTGGTTCAAGATATGTCCATTGTAGTAACAAATATATAAAAACTCCTTGGCTCACATATATCAAATTAACACTTTTTACTAATCTTTTTTCCTAAAGTTCTTTATGTCCATGTGTGTAGTATAAATTTTAAGTTACATAAGTGCATATGCATTCAATTTAATGCTACATATTTTTCAACAGTTTACAACTGCATTGGCTTTTTTTTTTCACCTAACCACCACACTGAGCTTATTCAACATAAATAATAAATGTACCTGTACAACAAAGAATAAACACATGTAAAGTTCTCAAATAACAGTCTTGAAGGCAAAGATTGTGTCATCACAAATTTAATGACCAGCTTCCATCAATATCACAGAGTAATGTAATGAAACATGAGCAATAACAAAACAATCTCATCAGAATAGAATGTTTCTTCCAAGATAATACAACACAGATTAATGCAATGCAAACAAACTCAGTAAAATGTTAACCTTGTTAAGTCTACATGACACAAATAATGCTTGCAAAATAGACAACAGCGAAAATTTAGCTTAAGTCTCCAATTATCGACAACACTTATAAGTGCTACCTTAACACCAACTATTTTAAAATAGCAATAGCTATGTGAAATAGTGCTATATGCAGTTATAATAAATACTGGATACACATTCATGATTTCAGCTAAGTATAAAAAACTGTAGAAAGGATCACTACTGATGCCCGAGTAGGGAACTCTACTATGGTAATCATCCACTGTTAAAAACATGGTGCAATATAATTGCAGAAATCCCCATAGAGAAAGCAAACTCAAGTAACAATGAACAATAGCAGTTTGAGTAATGATATGCAACAGCAAAATTGGGAACCTTTCACATGGCTGCTTCCAGTTAATGTGCTAGAAAATGCATGAGTTGTAGTTTCTAACTAATGTGTACCCTAGGAAGACACTGGATTTTTGATGGTGGAAAGTGAAGGACTTAGAAAATTTCACAGCACAACAAGATTAACCCTATCACCACAGGTATCCTTTACTTGCACATAACAAGTTTTTAGTGTCTTACATTCAAAATTTTATTAAACTACTTTTTTTGTTATACCAATTAGAATAGCATAAAATGTTAGCTAATAATCCATATTTTAATAGTATGTAAGTTTTAAGTTCTTAAATCTACAAGGCAATGTTTTAAAAAAACTCCTGAATTTCCCACAGTGTGACACATGTAACCATTTTCTCTAGCCGTCTTGTCTTCTACTTTATTTTATCCACCACCCCTTGGAAAAGTAAGAAATTAAATGTGAATTGCTCACTGTAAAATTGTCATTGCTCTGAATAACCATATTTTTCTTATAGTCTTCAATTTTGTTTGGTTACAGAGCTATCAAATAGAAAATGAAACCCCCTCCTGCCACCCCCATCTGTCACATCCTTTCTTTCAGGATTTGGTAATAATTCTCTTGCGTTTAATTATATATATATTACCTGTAACCAATAGAAAGTCAAGGTTTTCATCTATAAAATGACTTATTGTATAACATTATGTTCTGAACGGTTAAATATTAATTTCACTCAGAGTACCAACATCGTTCCCTTGAGAAATTTAACAATTAGCTTGGATGAATTTGTAACTACTTTTGTCGCATAGCTAGAAAG